TTCTCTCTTTCATTTTTCCAGCTAAGTGTATCATATTTGCTTCGATTATGTCTTCACTTCTTTCTTTTAGATTTTTTTAGATATCATTTTATTCAAGTGGTAGTATTTTTTTTCCCTCAAATAAAACTACTTGTAAGGTTGGTGGCCTACTAAGTAAGTTCCCATAGATTACTCTATTTTTGAACCATATTCCTCGGGCTTGTTTTTATTGACTTTGGAGAAAAAAAATATTGATCTTGCCGTCTGAAACCAGTGGAGATTGGACTAACTACCGAATATTTCACATGCTTTTGAACTTTGTATGAAGCTTCGTATTTATTTATTTCTAGATTTGAACTCTTGAAAAAAAAAAAAAAAAGTTTGTTTGAAATGGACTCCAGGCCTTGTTGATTGTTGAGCTTACAGTTAGCTATTTTTTTATATTTCTGTATATATCTGATGGGTAGGTAGTATAAATGAATTAATTATTGGTTGATTCGTAAGTAAATATTTAGTTGTGCTGATAAGAGGGATTATGGGGTTTAGGGGTGTAAGTTTTTTAATGTAGCATTTTTTATGAAAACTTTATACTTAGGTTTCGTTTGGGATGACTTTCTTGCTGTTTTTTAAAACAGTTTTTTAGTAAAAAAAAATTTATTCAAACTTTTTTAGAAATAGAAAGCTCAATAAAAAAGCATTAAGAAAGTCATTCCAAATAAAGTCTTAATAGGATGAAATTCCTTTTTTTTTTTTTTTTAGGATGAAATTTCATTAAAGCATTAAATGTATCCTAATTCTTTGCTTCCCTAATTCAGCAGAATTTAATGAGATCGGCTTTGCCAAATCAATATTATCCGCACATAATTATATATGAAACAAATATTCACACTTAAATAAAAACAAGAATTGCTCCATAAATCTACTAATTACATGTTCATTAAATCACAAAAATTATAAAGATAAAATTGTGTTTTATTAATTAATTTTTTATATAAATCAAAATTAGTTTTTTTTTTCTAAATAACTTGAATGAAATCAAAGCAAGCCTATAATTATGTGATTATAGGCAACAATATTAAATTACTAGATTCAAAAGTTGTTTGCACATGAATATAAAATATTATTGATATATCATCAAAAAATTATCTTGTTCGGGCATAAATCTCGAGGCAAAATCAAGCCAGAAACTTCTAAAATTAAACCCGGGATCACCTGAACTCAGATTTCAGAAAACTTATAGTCAAATTAAGCGTCTCGGAAACATGAACCCAACGACACCAAATTCAACTTGATCTGAGCCCAAATGAGTCTGAATCGAATACTCGAAGCGATGTTGATAGGTTCAAACCACAATTTGGATTACGAAACGGTTTGCAAACATGACATACTTATAGTCAAATCGAGCGGCTTGACGAGAAAAATCCAACGAGCCCAAGATCGTTGAATTCCGATATCGTTAAGACCTTCAAATGTTTGATAAACGATCCACGATCAATGGATTCAATATCGGCCATCCATCCGAACCACTCCACCTTTGCACTTGATCATCATCATATTTACGGGTGATGCAATCCTCAAAAAACTATAAATAGCCCTTTCACTTGAGAGGGGACCCAAGCAAGAAGAAGAAGAGATGGAAAGGAGAGAATAAACTCCTCCCCGACCACCGCTAGAATTTTGCCCAACGCCCAAGTGATGCTGAAATTCTGCCCAAGGCACAAGTGACGCCGAAATTCTGCCCAAATGACACCGAAATTCTGCCTGACATTCAAGTGATGTCGGAATTTCGCCTAATTTTCCAGTGACGTCGGAACTCTGCTCAATTTCCAAGTGACGCCGAAATTCTAAGTGACTCTGAATTCAGCTCGAATACACAACTTGTTTGTAACTGGATTTCAATCCGGAAGTGAATCATTGTAATCTGATCGTCCTAAATTTTAAGGACGAGTCAGTCTCTTGTATCTTAAGCAAACACTAGTGAAATTATTTCAACTAGGCATGGCCCATGATTTTTTTCCCTTTACAAGGTTTTCCACGTAAAAATCCTGGTGTTTTTTATTTCTCTCATGTTTGTGTGCTGGATATCCGTGCAACGCTGAGACGAAAACTTTCTAACTCTATCGATGCGTATATTATAGTCTGCAACAATTATAAAAATGAATTATATTCCATAAGTGAGAGGAAGAGTGAGAAGTTATGTCTTAAATAAAAATGAATAGATTAGACCTGGTATAATAAGCTGTGTAGCGAGTTACTTATTTATGAATTCATCTTCTAGTCGAGGGAATTGCAGCCAATTTATCTTGATAAATTCTTCTAACTAGAACTTCTAGTCAGTTGGTGAATACGCAAGTGAGTTGAAGAGCTATTTGAGTGAATGCTCTTAATTTGATATATCATCAAAAAATTACCTTGACCGGGCATGAATCTCGAGTCAAAATCAAGTTGGAAACTTCAAAAATTAATTTGGAGATCATCTTAACTTTGATTTCAGCAAACTTATAGTCGAACTGAACGTCTTGGAAACACGAACCCAACGATACAAAATTTGACTCAATCTGAGTCCAAATGAGTCTAAATCAAATACCCAAAGCACAATCGGAAGGTTCAAAACATAATTTAGACTATGAAACAATTTCCAAACATGACATGCTTATAGTCGAATCGAGCGGCTCAACAAGAATCCAACGAGCCCAATATCATGAAATTATGACATCATTAAGACCTTCAAATGTCTAGCGAACAGTCCACGATCAAGGGATTAAACATCAGCCGTCCATCTAAACCACTCCCTATTTACCCTTGATCTTCCTCCTATTACAGGACATGCAACTCCAAGAAATCTATAAATAGAGCCCCCCTTCCTCTTGAAAGTGACCCAAAGCCCAAGGAAAAATGTGAGAGATTGGAGATCGCTCTTGCTTCCTTGCCTCCTCGACCACCGCCCGGACTTTCACCGAATCACCACCTGAGACTTGGACTTCTGCCGAACCACCACCTGAGACACGAACTTCTGCCGGACCACCACCTGATGTCTGAACTTCTGTTGAACCACCAGCTAATGCCCAGAGTTCTACTAGAATACTACACTACTACTACGGTCTTTTTGACCTCAGTCTCTTGTCAACTACGGTCTTTCTGAACTCTGTCGCCTACTACGATCCTTCCGACCTCCATCACTAGACAATGGTTTTTCTAACCCCAATCTTCTGCCAATTACAATCCTTCTGACCTCCCTCTCTAGACAACGACCTTTCTGACCCCTATCTTCTACCGACTACGATCCTTCCGACCTCCATTGCCTACTACGGTCTTTCTGACTTCTATCCTATTGACTATGGTCCTGTCGACCAAATAAACATGTCTATGTTGATTATTGTAACTCCCACCATGTAATGCGCTCTATATGATGTACATTTGTGACATCAAGCCAATGCCTTCTCCCAAGGAAGTGCCTCATTTGCAATCAACTGCAAATATTAGTGGATTCATTCAAACTGGGACATGCCCCGTGGGTTTTCACCATTTTTAGAGGTTTACACGTAAAAACTCTGGTGTCTCTTATGAACGCTACGGTATCTCTTTCATCTGCTTGTGTGCTGGATCTTCATACAGTGCTAAGACGTTAAATTATATATTTCTCTACTGCCACGAATATTCCAGAACGCAACACTCTTGATTAAGGAGCACCGTAAGTCACTTGGGGAACATTTATAATGGCTTAAAACTTAGGTCCCATTGGACTTAACTATTTATGTAATTTGCAATATTTAATTTTGGATGGTGAGAGGTTTTAAGCTTCTTCAATTTTAATAAGTTCCACTTCGCAAAAAAAAAAAAAAAAAAAAAAAAAGGTATATTTAGCTAGTTGACAATCAACAACTTATTTGCCCTAAATCAAATCCTCATTATGATTTAATTAATTTGAAGGATACTTGTTTTGATCAAAATGATTGGTTGGTTGGGTCTAATTCTACGCCCTATGGGGGTGTTGGGAATGACTTGGATGAGTCTTCCTATGAGTTCCATGCGATGTATAATTTGAATGAAAATAACATTGTTGATAAAGTATTTTCTCATAGAGGTGGCAAATGTGGTAGGAGGAAGTCTAAAATGAAATAATTGGTTGTGTTTGTTTTCTTTCTCTAGTGCTGTTGGTCCTTCTTGATTGGCTCTGCCTTTGGGTTTGGTGTTGCTTTGGCCGGTGGATGGCCCGTGTTTCTTTGGTTGGCTGTTGGATGTTGGTTTGATGGCTTTTGGGTCATTTCTTTCTTCCCTTTTCAGGTTTATATTGGATCTAAATCATGTAGGTTGCTTTAGGTGGCTCATGTTGCTCCATGTCTGGATTTGGAGATCTTCATGTCGCTCTGTTGTTTTATCCTTGTTTGCTTTGTTTTGTTGCTCTATTTTCTTTTGATTTTCATTGTATTAGGTAGAACATTTGCTTTGTTTTGTTGCTCTATTTTCTTTTGATTTTCATTGTATTAGGTAGAACATTTGGCTCATAGGTTTTATTTTAAAGGCTATATATTTTTTAGAGCTGATGGTTCTTTAAGGACTTATATTTTTCTTGTGTTTAACGCGTGTGCCCCTTTGTGGGTTTATTAAAAAAAAAAATTGAAATATACAAATATGATGATATGCTAACAATAAATTGCATCATATGGCACAAACGATAAGCTTTGAAGAAGTACAATAGCAAAAGGAAGTTGTTGCTTCAATTCAAATAAACAAAGCTACCCTAAAGCTCAGATAGAGACCCAACAGAGCAAAATGACAAACCCAACCCAAATCTTAGAGGCCAATCCATTCCAAAACGGTGAAATTCCAACGGCTAGTAAATCTCAAAACTTACCGAGAACAAATCGGCCATGCCAAACACAAGATCAGAGCGGCATCGGTCACGGATTCTCCGCACACAAAGGAATAAGCCCCATTAATTCTCCTCATCACTCTTACCTGAGCTACCCCTCTTTCTTCATCCATTTCTCCTCCACCCTCCCAATTACCAAAACACAGCCATGAGCACTCTCCTCCACCTCTCCACCACCGGAAGCCTCACCATAAGCGAAGCTCTGTTCTTCTTTCTCCTGGCAGCCCTTATGACCGTCGGTCTCTGCTCAACCGCTGCGCTGAGGAGGAAGAAAGAATTTGCAGAGGGAGAAGAGAAAATCAATCTGCCGGCGGCGAGGTTCGAAAAAGAAGAACAGGGGGAAAAATGGACGGTTGGTTGGGGAGGTATTAGTGAGGTTATGGCTCGTGTGCTGTGTTGGAGCGGGAGGAACGAGCGGTTGGAGTTAGACGAAGGTGGGGTGGGATGGAGGGATGTGGAGGCGACGACAGCCACGGCGACGGCTGCTGCGGCGGCGGTGGCGGCGGGTGGAGTGGACAGTGGGAATTCAGTGGCGATGTCGCCGCTGTGGCAGAGGAGAATACTAATGGGAGAGAGATGCCAGATGCCGATGTTTAGTGGCGTTATACTTTACGACGAGCGCGGGCGGCTGCTCCGCGGCAACTCGGCCAAAGCTAAGCAGGTGACTATTCTTTTTATTATTATTATTATTTTTATATAGAATTGATTTTACTTTTGGTTAAAAAAAATAATTGAATCACCATAAATTGACAATAAATACATTTGTAATTATAATAAATTATTAAATACTTTCTCTCTCTTTGGATATTCTTTGATGTCAACAGTTGCAATATTTTAAGCTATGAACTGAACAACATATAATAAATTCAGGAATGAAATATCAATATTTATTTCCTTTACATATTATATAAGATCACATCAATCTTTAAGGCAATTTAATATAATTTTTGGTGTGCATTTACTTGGTGGAGCATAAAATTACAAAAAAATAATTAAATTTGAATAAAATATTTATTTTATGTATAAATATTAAATTTTATATGCTAAAATATTTTCTTAGATTTATGTTGGATTGAAAATATTAACAATTGAATAGGTTTTGAGATTTAGCACTCAAATTTTGTTAAATTCAAATATAAATAATATGCTAAATTAAAATTTTACAAAAATCCTACTTCCATGATATATTAATTTTGATATGCGATGCTGACGAAAAGGTCTTCATTATTGATGAAATTTTATTCTAATAAATGAGCAAATTTTTATATAAACAAATTAATATGATGTTTTGATTTTTTGAAAATTATGGCAGTTTAGAATTAGAAGAAGGAGAGGGTTAAGGTATAATTAATAGTTTGACTAAAGTTAAGAATGATATATTAAATATTAAAACTATTTAAATAACATCCCAATTATATAATACTTATGTAAGAATATAAATTTAAGACAGAAAAATGAATAAATTTTATACACAATAATATTATAATTTGAATGATAAATGTAAACACTTTTAATTTTAAAGTTAATTCATATTTAATATAAATTTGGTTCATATATAAGTTTATTAATTTATTATAAATCATTATTAATTTATATCATATATTTTGATATAATTCTAAATACATATTATAAAATTATATCTATAAATTCATATTATATCATTTCTAATTAATTTAATTTTTTATACTGTATAAATAAATATTATTAACTATAAAATATATATTCTTCGTATTATTAAAAATAATTTAAAAATATATAGTGAATATGTCGAGCTATCGAAGACTTGAATTATTGACAAAGTGAAATAGTTAAATTTTGTTTGATAAAGTTTCTAATAATAACCATTTACAATATATTGAAAGGGCCTCCACAAACTCCAAATGCATTTTAAGCATAAATAATAAGCATAAATAATAATAATAATAATAATAATAATAATAATAATAATAATAATAACTATCTCAATAAATATCTTTCTCTCAAAGTGTTGCGCCTAAGGATTTGTATCTCCTCTTCTACTTATTTAAAAATTTCAAATGATTCATATGTATGTTTGCAAATATATGAGTGGGTCACAACTCTATTCAATGAGTGCAATGAGTTTCTAAATTATAATAATACATGACATTATTAACGCATGCATGATTTCTATAAAATATAAAGCAACTTTTCTAACAATTAATTTTGAAATAACCATAAATCATATCTTAAGCAATGTATAATAATCATACATATCTTAGCATTCTTTTGAATTAATATAATTATCCTAGGAGACATCGCCTAAATAGTATCAATTAATGTACTTTCTTTTTCAAAATCTTTTTCATTTCATGTGCGTGGTACAATGCGTCCCTAACCAATATCATAAGGTGGTGTAATCCGTCAATAAGTATGCACATCCAAGTATTTTACATCTAATTATTTCATTCATATATCATTCAATAGCTTTATATATAATGTGAAACATAACTTGTTAACTATCTTCTAATCCAAAATAATCAATCAGATATACGAAAGATAAATCATGATTTCACTTGCATTAATGACTAAATAAATATGGGTTAATATCATTATGTACATTTACTTTAAAGAAAATAAAATTATTATTGTAATTTAAAAACATGAGTATTCATCTCATTCTTAGAAATTATGTCTTAATTTTATCACTCCATATCCTCCGCCTCTTTTAAGACTTCCAGTACGTACCTAAGGTAAGCCTCTGGCCTTCCTTTGAAAGAGGCACTGACTGTCCTCATTAGACAAACTTAATTTGGAGACAAATATAGCTTCTAATCCCTATGAAAAGGCTCTGGCCTTCTATTGAAAGAAGCATTAAATATCCTCATTAGAATGACTTGATTTAGAGACAATCAAGACTTTCATTTCCTATAGTGAGGCTTTATCATTCCTTGAAAGAGGCATTGATTATTCTCATTGAATAGGCTAGATTAGGAGGAAAACAAGGCTTCCAATCTTTACATTATGGCTTTATCATTCCTTGATAGAGGCATTGATTATTCTCATTGAATAAAGTACATTGGGAGGCAAACAAGACTTCCAATCCATACTTTAAAGCTCCAATTTTCTTTCTCAGATAAACCAATTTTGATTGTCATAGTCAAACAAGCCAATTTTGGGTATAAATTATAATGATCATTTTACACTTCTTCTCAAAGTTGTAATCCAAGATACAACCATCGGTGTTGGCTCTAATCTCATTGGAATCATAAAGACGTGTTGCATGCAAGGAAAAAAATACTTTTTTTTTAAATAAATTGTAACAAATATCAAAGGATAAGAAACCACTTACTGGAAGCTAATGTAAGGTTTTAAAGGCTGTAAGAAAACCTTAAAAAAAATCTTCAATGATGTTAATGAAGAATATGTGATGATATCATATAAAAATTAGGTAGTTCATCAGGCAAACTTGAAGTATAACTTCTTATTTATACAATCCATATATGCATGTCTCAATAGTATATGAGTTGGACTAATATTTTACAATCAAATTGTTAAAAGTAATAATGATAATAAATTTTGAACTTTAAATATGGCCAAAAGTAATGCAGATTTTTTAAATTTCACCTCCCATAAATACCAAGCCTTTTAATGTATGCTTCTATGTGTATGATTGATATTTTTACATAATAATAACAAGCTTTACTAATGAGATAATTTTAACAAGCTCCTTACATGTGTTAAGGAGAGTCATGAAGATCAATTAATTTTAGAAAGTATGATTTTCTTAGGCCATTAGTATGAGGTGCAACCCCAACCTCTTACACGTGGCATGTAATGTTGAGAGAAATCTACTGAGAATGTTTGACATGTACAATATTATTTGCGAGTATTACTCGGTAATTTAAATATTTTTGGAAGAGGTTGAGAGAAATCTATCAATGATGTTTGACCTATTAGAGATTGCTTGTTAGGACATTATAGGTACGTGATAACAATATGTGTGAAAGAAGTTGAGAAAAATTCACAAATGATGCTTGACCAATATATCTAAAATTATTTATTAGGCTATTGCTCAATTATATTGACATGTATGGAAGAGACCAAGAGATGTCTACCAAAGATGCTGGACCTATTTAAATTGTTTATGATAACATTGCTTGATGGCGCTAATCTATATGATTGATTGTATTTTAATTTGGAGAGAGTTAATTCCATATGTGTGTATCAAATATGAACATTGGTTTGTATTTATACCAATATACTTGTTCAAGGTCAAGGCTATAACCTTGCCTAGTGAGTAGATGTCTAGTTGGGAATTCTATGTAGAGTTTAAAATTCACTTGAGGCTTTCTTTAAAAAAAATTTATACTTTCTAAAATCTTTAAAAAAGATTGATGTCAAAAAAATCATCCTTAGACTGAATTGCTTGACTACAACTATGCCTCAGATGTTAACATGAATGTTCATTTGACATTACACTCAGGATTGCCCTCAATCCTAATCTGCTTTTCATGAAATTGATACAACAATGGATAATAGAAGTGAGAAGTTTTTTTTTACTATTACATGCGTAAGACATCATCCGCTTGATGTTGTAATTAAAGGTATGGACCCTCCTCCCTCCCAATTCCTGTCTTGCCTCTTTCAAAACTGATAAAATGGTAAATGATAAAAGGGGTTGTCCTAATACAAACATGCGATGTTGATGTGACCATCTTTTTGAGGTCATAGCAAGGGTTTCTATTAACAAATAATCAATTTTCACATACAATGCCAAATTGTTGCTTGCTAGAACATTCATCACAAGAGATAAATAGAGAGAGAGAGAGAGAGAGAGAGAGAGAGAGAGAGATAATTTAACATCTTGTCTTTGTATAAAGGTTCATCACACATAAAAATGCAGATTTATAACACACATCAATATTTTATGGGGAAAGCATATAAAAGGGAAAAAATCACAAGGTTTAACCCTATTAAAATGATTTCAATAATGTCCTTCCCCAAAATATAATAGATGTATAATGTATATAATGTATTTCATAATGTAAGTTAGAAGAGCCTTACGACATAGAAGTTATATTCAAGATCGTATTTGTTATTTATTTGATTGTTGTCTTTTAAGGGGGGGAGATCAGAGATTAAGAAGTCTAACATAAATCTTCGTGTTGATGTTGAGATTTAGAGTTGGTGTCATCGATATGCATTGGCCTTACAGGAAATTGTGTGCGTTAACATTGTTGGAAACAACATGTAATAAACTCAATGGGCATCATTGTAGCAAGGTGATGATAATCAAAGGATCATAGTTGAGAAATCGGGATTAGATGACTATAGTCGAGCAACAGTAGTTAGTTGACCATAGTTAGGTTAATGATGATCAAAGGAACATTATGGGGGAATGGTGGCCAGAAGATCATTATCAGCCAATAATATTCAAATGGTCATAATTAGGTGAGGTGGTTAGACTGTCATAGTTAGGTGATGATGATTAGAAGAACATAATCAAGACACTAGTGCTTAGATGATTGTAGCTAAGCAACAATATTCGGATGATTGTTGTTGGGAGATGGTTATCGAAAGACTGTAGTTGGGCGATGGGGGTTAGGAGACTGTGATGGATGAGGGACCATAGTCTAGGGAAGGCAGTCAAAGGATTATAGTCGAACGACGGTAGTCCAATGATAGTGATTTAACAGTGATCCATTATAGTGATGATGGGGGTAGACAAATAGTGGTCCGATGGAAGTGGACAAGTGGTGGTGCTTGGGTGGAGTTTTAGGATTTTTCAAGTATTTAAACTCTCTTGAATCTTGAGCTACGAGTCCAATACTCCTCTCATGTAGATAGTGGGGACTTATTTATAACTTTTTGATAGTGCATTGCCAATAAATATAACCACAATTTGGAACACTTAATCGGATGATCAATAATTATTCCCTCGATCCTAGACCATTTTTTAAGCATTGAAGTGCCTTAATTATGTCAAAATCAGATAGTTTTTTGGCTCATTGGATTGGTTTCATCGAGATTCACAATTTGATTACAAGCATTCCAAAATTGGATATAATTTGGTTGTTTAATCAATATCTATTTTTTTTTAATTATTCATCAACTGCTTGATTTGAACTCATTTGGTCTCGGATCAAATCATTTTTCTCGTGATAGATTTTCTAGTCCTACCATTTTATTTGATAATAAATTTGTCAAAATCAGAATTTGAATGGTCTTGAATTAATTTCATATGTTTCCATTCAAATATGCATTGAGATTCATGCTCAAAACATATCATATACACTGTATGTGTGTGTTCAAATTGACCTTTGGTAAAGCCAACAAGAGAGATTATTACGTGCAATCATCAGGACTTTCGGAGGCCAATCAGGATGCGTCACGTCACCCAATATACAGATATACACAATAACGGTATGTAGCGTATTGGTTATGTGGCATATCCTAATTGACCCCCAAACGCCGTCCGATGAACTCACATAATAATTTCGCAGCCAAGGCCTTACTCGTGCGAATAGGAACATCAGGACTTTATCCTTTTTTTTGTAGCGTTTCTAACGTGGATCTCATAGACAAAATTTTCTCTCCAACCAACGAGCCACATATCTTACGGCACAGTATTTTCCATAGAATAATTCTTTGGTCTCGCTTCCCCTGAATGGTTCATGAATTGCAACCATAAATATCCGCTTATGAGGCCATAATCTCATTGTACATTCTAATGAAAGATATATAAAATGATCATAATGATTATTTATTATTGTGTGATTATCGTCTGTTATTGTAGGTTCCAAATAAATAAAAAAAAGGGATTTTTACATATATAACCCCTAAAACTATTGAAAATACATATTTTACATCTAAACTTCTATATTTATTAATATACCGCCTAAAACCTCTCTTTTAATCAATTCTAACATTATGTTTAAACCTTTTGTCAAAAATTACTATCAGCGACTGTCTTCACTGCCAATAGCATCCTTTTACAATGAATACAAGTATCTCATCGCTTCAATCGAGTGATGAAATAGAAGGAAAGGAGGATTTTTGGTGATATATTGGTAAATATGAAAATTTAGGTGTTGAATATGCATTATTAATAATTTTAGGTGTTATGTAAGAAAGCAACAACAAGGTAGTGATGGCCTACAAACAACGTCAATGACGATGAATGTATTATATATTTGAAAATAAGACAATTTGGTGGAATTCAAAATACATCAAAATTGAATTAAAAGGAAAATCTAAAAGAGCCAAAACTTTACACTACACTTATTTTGCTTCAAACTAAACATCAAAATTATCAAAATTTTTGAATTTAGAATATTTTACACCCATTTTATTTCAAACTAAATAGCTCTTAAATGATGCACAAACTTTATCAATGACTAAAGACTTTAACGTTAAAATTCAAAAGTGTTATTCTTTTACCATATTAGCCATAATCATATTTTATTAAACACAGCCCTAATAGATAAAAATGTAACTAATGGCTACAATTAATTAAAAAAAAAGATTAAAATGATTATTAAAAATGTAACTAATGGCTACAATTAATTAAAAATTTATATATTAACTATGTAAATATATAAAATTATGTGATATTTATATAAACTCCCCTTAATTTAATTACACATCAGAGGAAGTATAAGAATATAACTATATTAGACCTGTCAATGTTGGATCCAACCCGAAAATCCGATACGAAAATTTCAGGTTTGGGTTAACCCGAACCCGATGCGGGTCGGGTTTGGGTTGATCTGGGAACCCGGGAATAACCCGGAACGACCCGGAAACCAATCCTGACCGGCCCTGCCCGCCTGCCCCACGACCCCAGCGCGTCGCGTGACTTGCGTCGCGTCAGCGATTCCGCACGTCGCGTCAGCCGTCCGGGTGACTCGCGTCGCATCCGCAACTCCGCCTGACTCACGTCGCATTCACGTCATTGCCTGACTCTGCCGTAACCGCTGTCCCGCCAGCCACTTGATTCTACCGTAACTACAGTCGCTTGACTCTGCCGTAACCGCTGTCGTCGCCTGACTTTGCCGCTGCCCCACCTAAACCCTAAACGGGTAAGGTCGGGTTGACCCGAACCCGAAGCGGGTCGGGTTCGGGTTCAAAAAATTGTTCGGGTTCAAAAAATTGACCCGTTTGTAAAAACGGATCAGGTTGACCCGAACCCGAATAGTGCTTACAAACGGGTCAGGTTGACCCGAACCCAAATATTGTCGGGGCAGTTCTGGATTTGACCCGAATCCAACCCATGACCCGAAATTGACACCCCTAAACTATATGTCGAATTTCTAGTAGTGATTAATTGTGTGCTACTGTCATAGCGGTCTTCTGCTCTACCAATGCCGCCTATAAGCCTCCGCCCCGTGTCAGCCGCTCGCTAGATCTTAAAAAATTGATGATTTACAAAAAATTCCATCAATTCAAACAACTGAAATCATTTTTTATTCAAAATTGTGCAGAAAACGCCACGTAGCTCCAGTAAACCGACCCTAAAGGATCATGCTCTGAAAATGTTTAAAATGTATTTTTTTTTCCCCTTTTCATCATGTGAGAAGAATTTCCTAGCAGCTCAATTTTCCTTGACTCTCTAACAGGAAAGGAAATTTATTCCGAGCTAATCTGAACTAGTTCCAATATCAATTACCAGTTGATATGATGTTATCTGAACTTACTCCTGCATCTTGTTATTTTGCAAACTTAATGTATAACTCATTTACATATATGAGCCTTAGCAACTTCACTTGTGCGGTTGAATTTGCTTAACTTGTTTTTTCAACATGGAAAAAATGAAGAAGAATGAATAAGGAACACGAGACAAAATAATTGAAATGGTTAATATATACAAAAAACAAGAATGATTACAATAAATTTGTTCAAAAAAAAAAAAAAAAAATGTTAGCACCTATAATCTTAGGGTTTATTTGTGATGGTTGTAATATTTTATAAGGTTGGTCATGAAATTGCTACGCGTAAAGCAAATTAGCTAATTTGGTTGCAAAACAAACAGCTTTTCATCATAAAAATTTTTAGAAAGCAGTAAGAAAATATTAGCCAAACGAAATTGTGGTTGTTTTCTAAAAAAATAAAGCAGTGAGAAAAAAAATATCCTCAAACAAAGTCTCAGGCTTTGTTTGGGACGACTTTCTTTATGCTTCTTAAAGCAGCTTTTTAGTACAAAAATTAAAATTTTTGTACTAGAAAGCTGATATAAGAAACATAAAGAAAGTCGTCTCAAATGAACCCTCAGCCAACTTGAAAGTCGTCCCAAATGAACCCTCAGCCAACTTGAATATGTTTAGGATTATTTTGGCAATTAAATGAGTTCAGAAGGATGATCATGAAGAAGATGATGATAATGATAATGATGACGGTGGGTGATGATGATGAGATTTTTCCAGCTATTGGGCGATCATAAGCAATTATTAAAACTGTTAAACTAATGATAAATTCAAGAATAGCATGGGTATTAAAAGAATCACTCTTAAAAAAAAAAAATCAAATCAAATGTGCATAATCAAGTAGTAGCATACTAAAAAAGAAGTCTAATAATAACATTGCATTAGGCACAAGGCATAAAAAAGTGGAACTTATTCATCAAAGCCTAAGATTTATTTGCATGTGTCCTGCATAAGGACAAAGTTAATTTCATAAAACACTCAAAACAAGAAAACATGAAATTTTTAGTATTCTGCTCAAATTTAAGTAGATTTATAGTCAAAAATACATAAGACGAATGCAACATTGTCTCCTTAATCTAACCATTCTGTCCTGATAGAAATTTTAGTATGGTTAGATTAAATAGCAACTTTGACAGAACGAGCACACAAATCATATAAATGGACAGGAAAGCAAAAACTGCAGCAGACTATCTGTTTTGTCTTAAGAATGATCTTCAGAAACCACTCTTGTCATGAAGTTCTCTTTCTATCACGGCTTGAATTTTTGGTGCATCTTCAATAACTGATTAAAGAGCAGGAAAAAATGCAAAAGACTAAGGTGCGGCAATAAAAATTCTTAGATATAGTTAAACAAAGAAATATGATTGAACAAGAAAAAAAATGCACTAGCAAGACCAGATGTCAAACAAGAGCTCAAATACGTGGAAGTTCAATAGAATACATCTTGCTCTCCACTTAAAAAGCACGGTAGCATATGTAAGAATCCCGGCTGAGTGAATGATAGATATATTAAGTCTTTATTTGGGACGTTTTTTTTACTGCTTCTTAAAGCAACTTTTCAGTACAAATTTTTTAATTTTTGTACTAAAAAACTGCTTTAAAAAGCAGAAAGAAAGCCGTCCCAAACTAAGCCTAAATTTTACGTTCAAGGGTAAACCAATTCTGAATCTTCAAGCAAATATTCAGGTTTCGTTTGGGATGATTTTCTTATTGCTTCATAAAGCAGTTTTTTAGTACAAAAGTAAAAATTTTTATACTAGAAAGCTGCTTTAAGAAGCAGGAAAAAAAAACTTGTCCCAAACGAAGCCTCAATCGAAGGGCTTATTTCGTTCTTTGGAAGTTAGAAACATGCTTAAAAATTGATGAGTTTATTAGTTCCAACATTTGTTTCTACGTAATTGAAAATCAATATGAATTGTAGACTACACAAAGACATCTAAAATCTCTAAGTGATTAGTCCATTTTTACATTCACAATCAATGAAAAATGAGTCATGTTTTTCTATTTACAAGCAACAAAATGAGCGTCAAGGGGTAAAGAAAAAAAAAAATTTAATTACATAAGATCATAGTATGCAATGAATTCATCTTCTCTAAACGATATTTTCCATGGACTGACTGATGATAATGTAAGCAGGAGTATTCTTATGTAAGCAGCTACCAACATTTAGTACACAGTATTGTAGTTCTGTGGTAATCTATCCTTCAAGATAGACGTACATGAAATGACTCTAACAACAAAATTTTCGAAAGAGAACTAACGTAGATAGTCAGATATGTACCGGTTTTGCTTCACCAACTGTCAAACATTCCTTGCTTATGATTAAGAAACCAATAGTCCTATTACTCCAATTTATTTGCTCGCAGTGGAAAATCATATAATCTAACCTCAAAGGCTCAAACTTTTCCAAACACTCTGAATCCTCGTATAAAATATTCTCAGCCACAATATCAATTATTCTCAGATCAACCACTTAAATCCTTTTTTTTCTAAACTTTGATAACGAATCAACAATACATCATCTGCTAGCCATGTTGTGCATTGAGATCTTAATTGGATAGAATTGTAAGCTTTGTTTTGCCCACCAGAAATGTTTAGTTAACATAAGAGATTATAAATGCCGCAAAATAAACTTTCAATTTCAGATCCCAGATTGATAGTTGAATTCGAGCCCCCAACTAATTTTTCCCATTCAAAACCAACTCATAGAACCTAGTCAATCCTCTGAAATCTGTTAGGCATTTTGGATGCACAGAATATTATTGAATACTAATTCAAATGTAATGCCTATCAAGCTATCCAAATCGTTCCTAGCACAAAACCTGATATATAATTACATCCCTTCACTAAAATCAAAGATCCTTCATTAAAAAGACCTAATTTTAAATAATATCCCCAAATATTCACCAAAAACCAGATGATTCTATGGGCAGATTGAATTAAAAAGCTAAAAGCTGCAGCACTTCAATATAGCAAGCCTACATTTGGGAGGTAAACAACAGTTTAATTCAAGTACAAAGAGTAAATCAGAAACAGGAATTATCAATTAATCAAAGACATGGAAGGTCATTGTACGTGCTACGACCAAAACCATCAAATCTTACACAGGTATGAGTGTCAAGATATACCTGGTCATAAAATGACCAAAACAGTTCAACCCATGTCAAGAAACAAACATACAACTCAACCTGTGAAAGTTTCTAGTCGTTTCTGAAAAAAGTTGCAAATAATTCGAGAAATCAGGTCAAATTCTAGATTGATAGAGGACCAAATGACGACCAAGGCCTGGCTTTTTTGGGCTGAAACCAAACCCGCCTAACGGATTAGTTTAGAACTGCTTAAAGATATTTGGATCAGGACAAGTTTGCTCTAACTCAACATGAACCATTTCTCAAATGGGTTCTTTTAGGGATCCACAAGTTTTTATTTACTTGGGTTAAGCTTTTTGTGCCAAACTAACAAATTTTTGGTTTAGATTAATGCTGATTAAGTTGGCTCAACTCAATTTTGAGTCAAATTTGATTACACATGGATTGACACTTTATGTATATATATAAAATCTAATTAACATAGCAGATTCTCAAAATTGACTAGCCTCTGCAAACAACTTGAAGTATGTTCAAATTGTTCAATTCATTTGATTCAAGCGTCAGCCAACCTCAAAAATAATCAACCAAGTAGTGATTCATACGTGTCCCTGTAGTGTTTTTGTATTAGAAGCAAATGAACTGTAAGTAATCAAGACTGCCCAACAGCAAAATTCTCTGAGTGAGCTTTCCATCACCGCGAACCTTTTCCTGACTGAGGCTTCGTTTGGGACGGCTTTTTTATTGCTTTCTAAAACGGAGTTTTAGTACAAAAATAAAAAAATTTGTACTAAAACTCCATTTTAGAAAGCAATAAAAAAGCCGCCCCAAACGAACCCTGAAATAGGCAGCTAAAAGTTGAGATATTCCAAGCTGCTTATACAACCGAGTCAGTCATCCAGGAGGAAGAACTCCAAATCAAAAAGCATGCCATAAAGAACAAAAACAACTAAAAACAAATGAGAGATCATCTGGTATTTTAAGTACAATCCAGTCAAACGTAGCAGCCTATACAAACTTCCCTTCCATACTCTACATTTTACAGATCCTCCAACTAGCTCAAGCCAAGTTTATGCAAGACCCATCAGCAAATATATTAAGAACTAAAACCATTGAACTAGATAGAAAATGATCATTATGCTCTGCAATTATTACAAAAATATTTAAAAAACAGTGACTAAAATGAAGATTGATATAAATTGATATGGCTCAAAAAATCAATTTGATCAAGAAAAAATCAATTTGATCAAGCATCAGTTTTCACCAATTTTTTCAGGTCAAAAAATCTTTCAATCAAATTCAAAAACTTCAAAATTATTTCAGAAGTCATTCCTTTTTTAATTTCAGCAAATTTATAGTTGAGACAATGCATGCTGATGAGATAAACCCAATGAGCAAAAATTCCGTAAATCTGAGCATGTTTGGATGATAAAATGCCTAAACCAAGCCTAACTAGACTAAACCAGATCGATCCATGGACCGACTAGCCCGAATCCTTCCCTGCACGTGATATTAATAGAAAGCGCACGTCATGTCCCTTAAGAGTCTTGGTGGCCTTTGGCCGACCTAAAAGTAAGAAATGACCTTTGATGAACTCCTCTCATTGAGATGAGTTCAAATCCACCTTTGGTTCACAACGAAATGCATCGATATGCTCACAATTCACTAGAAAAACAAAATCAAAGATCAAAACTTCTTGAAGCATTGCATACTTTACAAGCCACAAAATTGTGATTCGTTTGTAGCATTGTATCACTCTCATGAAGACATTTCATCTAAATGATGTTGAGTTCTATCATCATAATCCAACAACCCATAACTTGAATGAGAGATTTATCGAAGTTCGTACAACTCTCGCATGGACCTTTAATTAATGAACTATTAGTGATTTTGAATTGCTCTCATTAAGATGAATAAAATCAATCCAAGATCATGGCTTGGCATCAAAAATTTTTGGGCAACAATTAATTAAGATCCTAGACCATCCAAGAAATGTTTTGTTTGATCTGGCCATTTGATCTTCAATCCATTAACACTATTACGCTCGTGGCATTAAAAACTTTAAAGAGGTAATTTCCATTTATCAATTAGATCATTATCATAAGGTTATTGAACACTATTAAACTACCATTATCAGTCATTAGTTGATCATCCGAATCAATCTAGTAGCTAGCCCGAAGGCTGGATTGACATCATTTTCTGAAGTGAGAAAGACATAATATGGGTCATGCAATTCATGGTGCCAATGTGATAGATCCTGGTATAAATAGTGAAAATACCCCCACTAAAATCTATAAATGAGCATCCCTCCATCATATTCCACAAATATTTTTACAAAGAGAACTACCATATTCATAGGAGTATTTTAGATCTTTGAACCCCATTTGAAGCCTCCAATCGATCCCCTCTGATATTCTACTAGTCAAGACTTCTCTATGTTTCCTTGGTTGTCTAGTCTTCTTTGTTGGCAAGAGAAAGATTATGTCAAATTTCTTCTCTATCATTTGACACCCTTCGTCGATCAATGTTGATGCCTTTGTCTAACACCAATGTTTGACACCCTCCATCTTTTGACATCAGTTGTCACCCTGACTAACATTTTTCTTCAACCACCAACATAAACATCAAATAGCACTATTAGAGAGAGGCAAATACATTCTAAAATTTTAAATTGTAATCTTGTCATTTGTAATCATGAGAAATCTTATAACCACCGATTTGTATTAGTGAAACTATTGTTAAATTGGTAAGCTCTCATGGTTTTTTCCAATATGGTTTTCCAAATTAAAATTCTATGACACCTATATGCACAACTATCTTTTCTATCTATTTGTGACACATTCATGTAAGCTAAATGCAATTCTTAATCTCTATCATCTTGAAATTTAGGGAATGGGCATTCAATAAATATGATGCAAATTTATAGTTCATCTAAAAATATACTTGTCCAACCTCTACATTTTAGATAAATAAAGGACAAACTATATAAGGGGAAGTTGGAGTCAAGCTTGTTAAAAAATAATAATAATAATAATCAATAACCCCATGGAATATCACTAAAGATTAATAATATAGATTAATTGTATCTTTAAAATCCTCTAAAGATTTGTCGGTCATCCTACCGCACAAGCTAAGCATTATTAAACATGACAACATGTATTTCATCGATCAACAACTCACAATTCACATAAATGATTTAAAATGGTTTATATGTTAAAAAAATGTGTATAAACTATCAATCGCTACTCTATAAACCATGGATGATAATAAAGCTCATATTTTATGATCCACCAACCACAATCTCTGCCCTAAGCTGATGTTCTATTCCATTTACAAATTACAGGTAGCACTATAATTTATTTTCATTCTACTATTACATTGCCTTTTAAATGCCCCTTTAACAATAATTTACTAAGGACAAAGTTAAGTTTAGGACCTCATTATCTATGCCTGAGCATTGGGCCTGTGGTTCATACCTCAATTCTCAACTTTGAATTCATGAGTTTTATCCCTACTCCTCACACCATTGTTAATATTTTTGAGAAAGACAAACTTATTTACTATTGGCTCTTGTATCAAAAGTTTTGTACCCTTCAATGTCATTTTTCAAAATCTAAAACGGACTTATGACTTCTTTATAAATATATGAGATATATTTCTTATTTTCTTTAATAGAACCTTTTACATGGCAAATCTTCGACCTATTCACATGCTAACTATCAACCAAAAGGCTGATGTCAATCAATCTTGCACCAAGCATTTTACACGTGAGCTCTAGCAACCACCTTTAAAGTCTTAACTTCTATAAAAGCCTCTAAACGCAGATAAAAGAAGTAGCCAACACTTATTCAAGAAACAGGAAAGATATGATAGAAACTCCCATTTCAACAACTAGCAGACGATCTCTTTTGAACTATCATTGAACAAAAAAAAAGGAATCTCCGCTATTAACCTGTTTGCTCTATTTCAGCTTTGGGATCCCCCAAAAACTTCAAGCAGTCCGCAGCAATTCCACCACGTAGCACGGCGCTCTAACAGCGGGGAAGGTCCCGCAGCAGGAGTATCCTACAAAAGAATTTCATCCCAGACATTTAATTAAGGTGCAAATAGAAGAAAAAAAAGGAATGCCAAAATTGTCCAGACAATCAGTAATCTCAGTACCCGAGCAATAGCAACTGGAATCTCAGCCCCCTCACTGTACGAGCTTCCTTCGCCACTCTTTTCCCTAACTTCCAGAGGAGCAGATGATTCCTCCAAAACCTCCAATGGCGCCGCCGTGGCTACTTCAGTTCGCTCCGATTCCGAAACGGTTTGCTGCTCGATTGGAACAACAGATGCATCCTGATCACTAACTGCGGGCTCCGGCTCCGGCTTCGGCTCCGGCTTCGGCTCGGGCTCGGGCTCATGCTCAGGCTCAGGCTCGGGTTCGTGCTCGGGTTGTGCTTCCATTGAGGCCCTAGGGGAGAATTCTTCGTCAGTGAACGGGCGGTCGCTGCTGTCTTCGTGGTCGCCACCTGGTCCGTTGCCTAAAAAGCAAGAAGTTTAACCGCTTAAGAAAGGAAGACGAGGAAAAGAGGGTTGGTAGGATAAGGAGGAACCTTGAGGGCCAGAGGAATTAGTTGGAGTTTGGTGGTTGGCCGTCTCCTTCTTGTGTTTCTTCTGTTTGCTTGCTTTCCCCTTTCTGGAGCCATGAGGCATGACGACGGTGATGGTGATGAGCGGCGGAGCGATGAATGCGAATCTCGAATGGTCGGGCTTCGGCGTTCTTATGTCGGTATATCTTCATATTATTAAAATATGAATTTCCGAAATTATGCGTCGTTACGTTAAAAATACAATTAAATAGCATTAATTGTGATTTTTTTAATAGTCTTTCATAAATACGTGGTTTTGGATAATGTAAATTAATGCTATGAGAGTGACAAAATAAAGAAAAAAAAAAGATAAATATTAATATGAAACTTTTAATTTTAAATATGCAACTGGAATATATTTTTTATCAATTAATTTGTTTAAATTATATTTTTAATAATAATTGTTTAGATTTTTAATATGATGACAATTTTTTTATTTTTATGGATATATATATATATATATATATATATATATAAAACTTTGCTATAAGAATTGAAGGAGGCATTTAAAAATGCTAGTCATAACTTGTTGGCAATCTAATGATACATTAAAAATTAAAAATTTAAAATTGGCAAGGGGAGGAGGGTTCTTTTTATAGATATTTTATGCACTTTGAGAAAATTATTATATCTTGTAAGAAAAATAATATATTGTATATTTGATCAATGTTTGTACTTGATTGGTCTTTGATTCGCCTAAGTCTTTATTATACGTTAAACATAAATTATTTGTCTTTTCTTTAGGCTCACCTATGAATGAATATATGTCTGAGTTGATGGATTTTATCCTCTTGTCTCTTGTATTTATAAATCTTTGATTCATTTTTAGTTTTTAAATTATCAATGAACCTAGTAAAAGATTAATGAAATAAATAGATTTTTTTTAATTAAAAAATAACAATAACTATATACCATGCATGATTCCAATAAACACCTAAGAATCTTGCTCACCTTTTCCGCATTAGTGAATTCTCTATCCAAAGCATGCAAAAATAATAATAATTTTAGGAAAATTGAGTATATAGTAATATTTTTATTTGGTTGCATGCGAAAGAGTTCATAATTGTGCATGAGTTGATTAATATGTGTTATACCTCTTTTGTCTCCTTATAGTTAATGCAAAGTTTGTTCGAGATATTCTTACCTATTTTACATATGAATATATGAATGGCATCATTGAATTTCAAATTATAGAAAAAATAATAATTCAAATATTTGGAATTGAATTTTGCTAATTCCCTTTCTTCCTATGTCCAATCTTCAAAAGAGACACTACATATTTTTCACTATCGATTTTATAAGGGGGTGCATATCCTACTTAGATGTAGTAATCTATGGATTGAATAAACGTAACCATGTGACATTTTTAAAAATCAAAATGCATGTTATTAAATAGGGGAGGTCATGTAATGGAATACTCTCATAATGTATTATAATTTCCAATATGTGCCATTATAGGATATAATTTAGATGATGAAACATTTCACAACATAATCTATTTGACACCAATTGATCAATGTGTTTGATCATAATAAAGAGAGGGGTGAGTTAGTGTATCTTAATTTTTAAAACTCCTTTTTATTTTTATTTTAGAATTTTTTTTTAAATGATGTAGGTAAATACAAATATTATGAAAGTAAAAACTGTGGATGAAATGAAATTAGCATCATCATCAAATATTTCATTGAAAATACCATAGATTGTAAATCAAGTAATGGTAATAAGTAAAGAAAGAGCAAAATAAAGAAGAAAGTGCAAATCAATTTTTACGTGATTTGGCACTAACACTCATATCTTTTAACACTTTTAATGAACAATAATATTTCAAAAGAACAATAAGAATATTGGATGATTTGAAATAGAAGAAAAGTGGAATAATAATGGGGTACATGTTTTTGAGAGATTTTTCTCACTTAGGATTTATAAAATCAAAAACTTGATGTTCTCTTTCTCAAAGCACCCTTCTCGTTAGGTTTTTTTGTCTAACAATTTGTTATAGGCTTAAAAAAAAATCTTTTGATAATAGTCTAACCAAATCCATAGTGTGAACATTGAGCTCCTCTCTCTACTGAGCAATTATGAGGTCCTTTCACTGGATGTAGAGGAAGATTCGATTTTAGGCAAAAATAGGTCAAAAAGTGCAAATACCGAGTTTTTTGAAAAACTCGGTATTTGCACTTTTTTAGGCAAAATCGAACCTTCCTCTAGGTCCTTGCACCGGACCAAATAAAAGTTCCTCTCTACTTTCATGCTTAAGCATCCATTATGGTACAACTTCTTGTCAGCTTTCAATTTATTTATTTCAGGTTTTTTCCATTTCAGATTTTCAATACACCTAACGTTATCATGCAATGCTTCGGTTGTAGAGAAAGAAAGACAAATGGGGTAAAATATTGAAGAGAGAGGGGTACAATATTAACAGAGCAAAAATTTCATCAATGAGGAAATTTGTTCTAATTTTGGTAATTCTTTCTTTTAAAGTTATTTATTAATCGAGAGAAGCCACTAACATTTTTTTCTGGACACATGAAAACATCAATGGTTTGTTTTCCTCCTTTCTCCTCTTTCGTGACTCACAACCTTGAGCACGGCTTTCGTTTTCCCTTTCGCTCATCTCTCCCCCAAACGAAGACCTCCCGTGATAGATGTTTATGTCTTTTAAGCTCTAAGGGCCATATTATTTACATTTTTTATTTTGACCTTACAGTTCCACTTGGCTTCGGTGATGAGACAACAAACAGAACCATTTTAATATATTCTAACCTTCCAAATGAGACGGCAAACATAACCATTTTAATTTAGCCCCCCCCCAGAGTAAAATTTCTGGCTCTGCCACTGCTTTTAATAAAGATGATTGTAAAACTATTGTAAAGTAAACTATTTTTAAGCTGTAGAAAGCAGTTTTCTAGCACATTTTTTTAAAAAAATGTTGTGAAAAGTAGCATTCAAACAAAAATTATGGTTTCAATCTAAAAAGCAAAGTAGCAAGAAAGTTGTACCAAATAAAGATTTTGACTTCTTTTGTAACAACTTTCTTACTATTTTTTAAAGCAGATTTCTAGCATAAAAATTTCTTGAATTAAAATTTTTTGTATTAGAAATTTGTTTTAAAAAGCAATAAAAAAATTATCTCAAACGAATCTTAGTCATTGTATACACATGTGCTTGTTAATTCTAATTTATAAAATAAGTGTATTACTTTAAAAAATAATGTAATGATATTAATCCAAATTATATTTATTATCATCAAAATTAGGGGTGTCAAAATGCAGTTTCGAGTCGGGTTCAGGTCCAACCCGAAATTAACCTGCCTTCAACCCCCTTGACTCGATTTGCAAAACGGGTCTAATTTCTGAACTTGAACATAACTCTGATCTAATCCGGGTTGTGGGTGCGAGTGCAGGAGTTCAGGAATACTATGTGAGCATGATCCGAGTCATTTTGTGTTGATTTTGAGTTTTTAGGTCGACCCAAACCCGACCGGTTTTAGAAACGAGTCAAGAAATCAAAGTCGAACCCGACCCGTCAGGCAAACGGGTTAATATGAACCATGAATTTTCTGAGTCGGATTTCGAGTCGGGTCAAATATTTACACCTCTAATCAAAATGTGTGATATGACTTTAGACTTATGAGACCAACAAGTCATTTGTCACCAACTCAATCCAATGTTGAAAATCATCACAACCACCATGTAGAACTCTATAAAAAAAAAAAAAACCTTTAACTATCGCTACTAGAGCTTCCCATTAGAAAAGCTTTCGAAAATCCGTAAAGAGGTGTAGACAATCAGTCACATTTTGTTTAAATACCTGATTACCAATTATGCTGTTATGCCCCCGAGGTTAAGCCTTACGCCAATCTTTAGCAGAATAATCCCACTTACAAGCTCCTGCTAGGTAGACCTGACTTGCTAGCTAGTCACCAACTCCAAATTTGAACTTCCTTTATTGTTTCGGGCATGGGTGCTTAGCTCTGTGCCTAATAATACATATTATGAGGGTTGTTGAGGGCTATAATATACGCGACGATAGAGTTAAAATACTGCATCTTAGTGTTGTACGAATATCCAGCTCATACACAGATAAGACAATATATTTTTACGTGGAAAACCCAGGAAATGGGAAAAACCACGTGGCCTGACCCAGTCTGAAATGATTCCACTAGATACACTCCAAATGGAAGAAAATCAAGAACTCCGGAAGCATTTGGACGATTTCAATAAATTGATTCTTGACCTCAGAAATGTGGATGTGAAGATTGACGAAGAAGATCAAGGGATCATACTCCTCAGCTCTCTACCGAAGACGTATGAAAACATAGTTGACACTATGTTGTATGGTAAGCAATCTTTGACATTGACGGAGGTTAAATCCGTTTTAATGTCAAAAGAAGTTCAAAGGAAAATTGAACATAAAGAAGACAAGAATGGCAACATTCTGATAGCTAGAGGAAGATCAGAATCACGTAGGATCAATGCCAACAGGAAGTGCTATCATTGTAATAAAGAAGGGCATATTAAGAGGTTTTGTCCAAATTTGTCTCAAGGGGTTGAACCAGAAGTTAGCTTGGCCATAGCCGCAGATTTGGGAGACGGTTGGACAGATTCTGATGTTTTGTAAAATCTGGATTAGGGGGTTGATTGTTAGGATATATTCCAGATTTTATTAGTTTAGTTTCTTTGATTTTTCCTTTGAGTTGTTAGTTGTTTGTGTGGCTTATCTTGTAGCCACATTTTTTCTTTAAATAAGCCCTTAGGCATGTATTAGGAGAGCCATTATAAGAATTTCCTTTTCTCTGTTCTGAAAAAGCTTTTCTGTTTTTCCTTTTTTCCTTTCAAGAAGTCGTGACAGGCTTCTGGCTGCAAGCTCTGGTGTTCAAACACGTTAAAAATTTCTTCAAAGTGAAAATTAATTTTTACGTTATTTGGCACTAATACTCATATCTTGTAACAATTTTAATGAACAATAATTTTTCAAAAGAATAATAAGAATATTGGATGATTTGAAATAGAAGAAAAGTGGAATAATAATGGGATACATGTTTTTGACAGATTTTTCTCACTTAGGATTTATAAAATAAAAAACTTGATGTTCTCTTTCTCAAAGCACCCTTCTCGTTGGGTTTTTCTGTCTAATAATTTTTTATAGGCTTAAAAAAAAATCTTTTGATAACAGTCTAACCAAATCTATAGTGTGTACATTGAACTCCTATCTCTACTTTCATGCTTAAGCATCCATTTGTTAGCATAGGCTTATAACGGCCAACGGTCACTGTACTTTCTTGTATTTAGTTTTATTTCTTGCTCTCAGCTATCTATTAATAGCTTACTGTATTCTATTGACAAGTGTAATAATACGATTCATTTCCATTTCTTCTTCCCGCCGTGCTCTGTCTCTCAGACCTTACATGGTATCAAAGCAGGCAATTCTTTCCCCTGCCTTCTTTTCTTCCGTTTTCTTCGTCAATCAAGAACCATGGCTGACAACACCAACACCTCTTCCAATCTCTCCTCTCCGGAAGAAACCCCATCCTCCAATCCACCACCAATTCCGGCATCTCTAAAATTTCTGATGAGCCATCTCAAAAGTGTAGTCGCCCAACCTCTCAGTGCCGAAAATCATCCACTGTGGCGCTCACAGGTACTCAAGCTCTTCAAGGCTAACGACTACCAGGGCTTCTTGGACGGTACTTCCCCTCCGCCACCACCAACAACGGACGCCGCCGGCTCCATTTCTCCCAACCCCTTATACGAAAACTGGCTCTTACAAGATCAGAATCTTGCCGCAGCCATGTATTCCATCATCTCACCTACAATCCTGCCGTATGTTCTAGCCGCCGAACACTGCTAAGAGATCTGGGCTATTCTTGATCGTCGCCTTCAATCGAGTACACGGTCAAGAATCATTCAACTCCGGCATGAACTTCATTACCTCACAATGAAAGACAAAACGATGTCTCAATATTTACTGGACATCAAGGCCAAGGTAGATGCTCTTGCTGTCGCCGGCGCCATCATTCCCATCGAAGAAGTCATCCACTACACCTTGGATGGTCTACCGCAGACGTATCAAGCCTTTAAAACAGCTATACGCACCAGTCGTCAACCCATCGATCTTGACGAACTATACACGCTACTGTGTAGCGAGGAGCTCAACATTGCTCATGAAGCCACCCGTGAGCTTCAATCTCTTCAACTTGCCGGGAATGCCACGGCGCTCGCTGCCCCTCGCGGTCGAGGTCGAGGCAGATCTTCATCCAATCGCGGATGGAATCCCGGCAATCGATCCAACAACACCACCAATCGTGGCTCAAGAAATGCAAGATCCACTGTTACTTGCCAAATCTACAGCAAGAACGGTCATTCCGCCGTCAAATGTTGGTATCGTCACGACGAAGACTACAACACTGAACCTCAGTCTTCCGCTCTCTTTACTTCTCCGGCTGCTACTTCTACCACTGAATGGTTTCTCGACAGCGGTGCGTCTTCGTATCTTACTTCCAACCCGAGCCATCTTCAATACTCTCAACCATACACCGGCACCTCTCAAGTCACTCTAGGGAATGGTTAGCAACTTCCCATTCAAAACACCGGTAAAGGTCTTCTTCCCACCCCGCAAGGTAGCCTCCACCTATCTCACCTTAATCTCGTTCCAAATCTTTCTTTCAACCTCTTATCCGTTCACAAACTTACTCATGATAATAACTGTCTCATAACTTTTTCCTCTCATGGCTATGAACTCAAGGATCGGAAGACACACCACACTCTACTCAAGGGTCCGTCTATTAACGGCCTCTACCCCATTTCAGTCAAGAATTCCACCGCCAATAACAACTCTCAGCTGGCTCTTCTCTCCGTCCAGTCCATTCCCGGTCTATGGCATCGCCGGCTCGGACATCCTTCCTCGGCCACGCTCTCTCATCTTGCTCATCAAGATCCAAACATTTGTATCTCTTCTATTAAATCTCATTGCAATTCATGTAACATGGCTAAGAGCCACCGTTTGCCATTTAATAAATCTCAAACCACTAGTTCGACTCCTTTTTCTCTTGTTCACTCGGACGTGTGGGGACCTTCCCCCTTTGTTTCTACCTATGGTTACAAATATTATGTTAGCTTTATCGATGATTACTCCAAATTTACCTGGGTTTATCTACTCAAACAAAAATCTGAAGTGTTTGTAAAATTCTTAGAATTTCAAAACATGATTTACCGCCAGTTTCATGCTCACATCAAAATCCTTCGAACCGATGGAGGAGGCGAATACCTTAACAACCACTTTAAAACTCACTTAACCAACCAGGGCATTTTACATCAGTTCACCTGTCCTTACTCTCCACCTCAAAACGGTACAGCTGAACGCAAACATCGGCACATCACTGAAACCGTTCAGACTCTTCTTCTCACCGCATCCATTCCAAATCACCTCTGGGCCGACACCTTAGTCACCGCTGTCTATCTCATCAATCGCCTACCTTCGCCGAACACTGGTAACAAATCTCCTTACACAATTCTTTACAACGCCAATCCTAATCTCAGTCATCTCAAAATATTCGGTTGTCTCTGCTATCCATGGCTTAAGTCATACGCCGCACACAAATTCTCGCCTCTCTCACAACCCGGCGTCTTTCTTGGCTACGCCTCCAATCAGAAAGGGTACAAGTGCCTTGATCCGAAAACCAACAAGATCTACGTTTCTCGTCACGTTGTCTTCAACGAAGACATCTTCCCATTCTCCCAACTCCCTGACTCCGTCAGCACACCTATGTCTTCAGCTCCTCACATACCTCCCCTTCTACTTGTACCCACTGCCCGTATTCCCCTCTCTACCAACACTACACGGACACCAGCTTCTCAACGCACGGCACCTCCTATCACACCCTGCAGTCCTCATACCACTCCTCCTATTTCTACTGCTGCCATCTCGCCCGATTCCAACACATCCGAACCCAGCGCTCAGCAACCCATTCATCCCATGTTGACTCGCTCCAAGACCGGTCACGCCAAGCCAAAACCCATCTTCAATCTCGCGCACATCATTCACAATAATGATCCTAACACCTACAATCAAGCCGTCAAAAGTGAACATTGGAGGGCTGCTATGTCTCAAGAGTTCCAAGCACTCCAAATGCAAGGTACTTGGGACCTTGTACCGCCCGAACCACATCAAAATGTAGTCGGCTGCAAATGGACCTACAGAACAAAACTAAAATCGGATGGTACAATCGCCCGGTACAAGGCCCGCCTAGTCGCCAAAGGATTTCATCAAGAGCATGGGCTCGATTACACTGAAACCTTCAGTCCGGTGGCCAAGATTCCAACCATCCGCGTCTTCATCCTCCTGGCACTTCACTTCAAATAGCAAATTCATCAGCTGGACATCTCAAAACGCCTTCTTGCATGGAAAACTCTCGGAGACCGTCTACATGGAACAACCACAAGGATTTCAAGATTCTCTCCATCCAACATATGTCTGCAAACTCAACAAAGCCCTCTATGGTCTCAAACAATCTCCCCGCGAATGGTACGCCACTCTTTCTACTCATCTTCAAAATTTCGGTTTTCTTATAAGCTCCGCCGATCCCTCTCTCCTAACCTACAAATCTAACTCAATTCGTCTTTATATTCTTATCTATGTTGACGATATTCTACTCACCGGCAACTCTCCAACCGAAATTGAACGTCTACTATCGAGCCTCCACGATCACTTTCAAATGCGCAATCTAGGCTCGCTCGCACACTTCTTGGGAATCCAGACCGTAAATACTAATTACGGACTACTACTTCATCAACAACAATACGCTAAACGGATCCTCGACAGAGCTGGTATGCAAAATGCAAAGCCAGTCGCTAATCCGATGTCCGGGACAACTTCCAGCTCAACCGCCACCTCAAGCAAGTTCGACAATCCGCATTTGTACTGCCAACTAATCGGCTCGCTTCAGTACCTTACATTAACAAGACCGGACATACAATATGCCGTTCATCAACTTAGCCAATCCATGCACAAGCCGCTGACCAGCAACTTCATCGCTCTAACACATCTACTCCGGTATATTCAAGGTACAACTGATCATGGCCTACCTCATTATTGTGATGAGCTAACCTTACAGGGATTCTCGGATGCTGACTGGGTGAACAACATTCAAGACCGGAAATCCATTTCCGGGTACTGCAACTTCCTCGGCAAATCTCTAATCTCCTGGCGTGTCAAGAAACAAGCAACGGTGGCACGCTCGTCCACTGAAGCCGAGTACAGAGCATTGGCAGCGGAGGCATCCGAAGTAATGTGGCTCAGACAACTTCTGGAGGAACTTCACATTCCTCAAACGGCTCCAACAACAATCTATTGCGACAACACCTCAGCCATTGCACTCTCCAACAATCCGGTCTACCATGCCCGCACCAAACACATCGACGTTGATTGCCACTTCATCCGTGACAACATCCGATCCAAACATATCACCGTACATCACATCTCGACCAACGACCAACTAGCCGATATTTTTACCAAGCCACTTCCCACACGGCGATTTAAATTACTATGCAACAAACTGATCGTAGCTCCCCCTCCATCAGTTTGACGGGGGATGTTAGCATAGGCTTATAACGGCCAACGGTCACTGTACTTTCTTGTATTTAGTTTTATTTCTTGCTCTCAGCTATCTATTAATAGCTTACTGTATTCTATTGACAAGTGTAATAATACGATTCATTTCCATTTCTTCCTCCCGCCGTGCTCTGTCTCTCAGACCTTACACCATTATGGTACAACCCCTTGTCAGCTTTCAATTTATTTATTACAGGTTTTTTCCATTTCAGATTTTCAATACACCTTCTAACGGTATCATGCAATGCTTCAATTGTAGAGAGAGAAAGACTAATGGGGTAAAATATTGAAGAGAGAGGGGTATAATATTAACAGAGCAACAAATTCATCAATGAGGAAATCTGCTCTAATTTTGATAATTCTTTCTTTTAAAGTTATTTATTAATCGAGAGAAGCCACCAATATTTTTTTCTGGACACATGAAAACATCAATGGTTTGTTTTCCTCCTTTCTCCTCCTTCGCGACTCACGACCTCGAGCACGGCTTTCGTTTTCCCTTTCGCTCCTCTCTCCCCCCAAACGGAGACCTCCGGTGACAGATGTTTATGTCTTTTAAGCTCTAAGGGTCATATTATTTACATTTTTATTTTGATCTTACAGTTCCACTTGGCTTCAGTAATGAGACAACAAACGGAACTATTTTAATATATTATAACCTTCCAAATGAGACGGCAAACATAACTATTTTAATTTATCCCCCCCCCAAATTTCTAATCCGGGTTGTGGGTGCGAGTGCAGGAGTTCAGGAATACTATGTGAGCAGGATCCGAGTCATTTTGTGTTGATTTTGAGTTTTTAGGTCGACCCAAACCCGACCGGTTTTAGAAATGAGTCAAGAAATCAAAGTCGAACCCGACCCGTCAGGCAAACGGGTTAATATGAACCATGAATTTTCTGAGTCGGATTTCAAGTCGGGTCAAATATTTACACCTCTAATCAAAATGTGTGATATGACTTTAGACTTATGAGACCAACATGTCATTTGTCACCAACAGGGGCGGATCCAGCTTCTTTTTTTAGGGTGGGCAAAAAAAAAATTTTTGTAAGGGATGGGCAAAAATTCTTAGGATTGGTAAAAGTAAGGCAAAAAAGATTTTTAAGGGGGGGCAAAATGCCCAAAATATTTCAAAATCTCCCCTCTAAATATTAAAAAAGAATTTTTTGAGGGTGGGCATTTGCCCACCCTAACCACCCTAAGCTATGGGTGGATCCGCCCATGGTCACCAACTCAATCCAATGTTGAAAATCATCACAACCACCATGTAGAACTCTATAAAAAAAAAACCTTTAACTATCGCTACTAGAGCTTCCCATTAGAAAAGCTCTCGAAAATCCGTAAAGAGGTGTAGACAATCAGTCACATTTTGTTTAGAGACCTGATTACCAATTATGCTGTTATGCCCCCGAGGTTAAGCCTTACGCCAATCTTTAGCAGAATAATCCCAGTTACAAGCTCCTGCTAGGTAGACCTGACTTGCTAGCTAGTCACCAACTCCAAATTTGAACTTCCTTTATTGTTTCGGGCATGGGTGCTTAGCTCTGTGCCCAATAATACATATTATGATGGTTGTTGAGGGCTAGAATATACGCGACGATAGAGTTAAAATACTGCATCTTAGTGTTGTACGAATATCCAGCTCATACACAAAGAACACAAGATGTTTTTACGTGAAAAACCTTGGAAAGGGGAAAACCACAGGGCATAGCCCTATCTGAAATGATTCCACTAGTGTTTGAGTAGATTACAATGGGCTGACTCATCCCTAATGGAAATTAGATTACAAATGCCAATCGTTTGGTTGAAATATAGTGATAAACGGGGATAAAAGTATAGCGTCACTTGGTGGACTGCCAGAAGTCCAGTGCTTCTTGAAAATTCGGGCGTCAATTGGTAGCACGACATTGGTTTGGCATAAATTCAATGTCGGGCGGTGGTCCAACGAAAGTCTGCTTCAGATGGAGGTCCGGCGAAACTTCAGGAGTCAAGTGATGGTCTGACAGAACTCCAGGCACCAAGTGGTGGTCCAGTTGAACTCCGGGCATCAGGTGGTGGTCTGGTGGAACTCTAGACCTCGGGTGGTGGTACGGCAAAAGTCCAGGCCTTTAGGTGGTGGTTCGATGGGACTCAGAGCCTATGGTGGTGATCTGGCGAAACTCAAGTCCTTAGGTGGTGGTCCAGCGGATCTCAGAACCTCAAGTGGTGATCCAGCGGAAGTCTAGTCCTCAAATGGTAGTCCTGCGGGGCTCAGGGCCTCAGGTGGTGGTCTAACTAAGTTCAGGGACTCAAGTGGTGGTCAAGCGGAGGTGAGGACCTCAAGTGGTTGTCCGAAGGAGGTGAGGACCTCATGTGGTGATCCAACGGGACTCTGGACCTCAGGTGGTGGTCAGGCGGGACTCAGGTCCTCAGGTGGTGGTCCGGCGGAGCTCAGGGCCTCAAGTGGTGATCCGGCAAAATTCAGGGCCTCAAGTGGTGGTCCGGCGAAGATGAGGGCCTCAAGTGGTGGTCCGACGGAGCAACGACGTCAAGTGGTAGTCTGACGTAACTCAAGCGGTGGTCGAGGAGGACTAAGGAGGCAAGTGTGATCTCTGATCTCTCTCTTGAATCCTTTGGCTTAGGGTTTCCTTTTCAAGAGAAAAGGTGGCTCTATTTATAGATTTTTTGAGTTGCATGGCCCGTAAGTAGGTGGGAAATCAAGGGCAAATGGGGAGTGGTTGGATGGACGGTCGATGTTGAATAATCCCTTGATCATGGACTGTTTGATGGAAATTTGAATGTCTTAGTGATGTCTTAATTCGGTGGTCTTGGGCTCGTTGGATTTGTCTCGTCAAGCCGTTGAATTCGACTATAAGCACGTTATATTTGGAAACCGTTTAATGATCGAAATTGTAGTTTAAACTTTCCAACAATGCTTGTAATCCTTGATTTGGACCCATTTGGGCTCGGATTGGGTTGGATTTGGTGTCGTTGGGTTCGTATTCTCAAAACATTCAGTTTGATTGTAAGTTTGCTGAAACCAGAGTTCGGATGGTCTTGATTTTAATTTTGAAAGTTTTCGACTTGATTTTGCATCGAGATTTGTGCCCGATCAAGATAATTTTTTGATGACGTATCAATTATAATATCGACCAATGTAGTGTTTATATTAGGGAGAGATTGATATGCATTTTTTTAGCCTCCATGCTTGGAATTTTTATTGTGTCAGGTAACCTGATGTAGAGATACATCAGGTACCCAATAAAAAAATGCCACATGGACTTTAAACAAAAAAACACTCAGCTTTAAACAAAAAGTAAGTACATGTGATATTTTTTATTAGGTACCTGATGTATCTCTACATCAGATTACCTGACCCAATAAAAATTCCCATGCTTGGCAGCAGTTTTCTTTCTCATTGATTACAAACCAGCCAAAAGAGAGAAGTAGAGAAGGAATTTTTGAAATCAAGAGCAACTGTATTTGATCTTCATAGCTCTCATGATCATAGTTGCTGACAACATGATAGTGAGAGCCGTTTGACGGGATGATCGGTGGACCAAAGAGCTTGGTTCCAATGCATCAAAGAATGGAATCATAAAAATGAATTGACTTAGGCTTCGTTTGAGACGATTTTTTTACTGCTTCTTAAAGCAGTTTTTTAATACAAAATTTAATTTTTGTAATAAAAAAATGCTTTGAGAAGCAGTAAGAAAACCATCCCAAACAAAACCTTAAAGGTTGAATGAATGAAATGAATTTTTTCGCGTACAATATGTTTCTATATATTGAACTATTCTGTAAAGTTTTATACCGATGTTGCACGTCTAGGTTTTTTACGATGATTCATCTTACTGTTGTGATAAAGGTTTTCTTTGGGTTGACTTTTTTTCTGCTTCTTAAAATAATTTTTTAGTATAAAAATTAAAATTTTTGTACTAGAAAGTAAATTTAAGAAGAAGTAAGAAAGTTGTCTCAAATTAAGCCTAATTATTTATCTTCTTCTTGACACAGAACGAGAAAATAGTTGTTTCATTTAGTTGAGTTGTGAGTAGTCTTAGACTTCTTTTGAGATAACTTTTTTATTGATTTTTAAAATATTTTTTTCGTATAAATTTTTTTGAATTAATAAAAACTATTTAAAAAAATAATAATAATAAAAAGTTATCTCAAACAAAGTCTTAGCTAAGCAAATTTTGAAATTGTTGAATGTGGCAGATCCATATCTGGCTTTAGCAACTGAAATATTGGGCCTTTGGGCAGAGAGTTAAGAGCCTAATTTTGTAACGTATTATATCTTTGATACATAAATAAAAATGTTAAGATTGCTGAGTTGCTTGATTAGTTTATTGTTATTATTATTGTTTTTTTAATAATTTAAAGGATTATTTGTGATCACTTATCATTATTATTATTTTATTTCATTTTATTTATATTATAAAATGGAATAAAAGTATATTTGATATTTTATAAACATTTTTTATTCTTATTGAATATTACAAAAGAGTATAATTGGTGTCCAGAGACTAGGGGTGTTAATTTTGGGTCACGGGTCGGGTTCGGGTCGAACCCGAACTGACCCGAGTAGAAAACGGGTTGACCCTAACCCGACCCGGGTAGAGAAACGGGTCGAAAATCCGAACCCGGACCCGACCCGCGCGGCATGGAACTCGGCAGCGCGCGCGTGCTTTTAGCTTCAACTGCCGTCCTTCCCAGTAGTTTTGAACTATCATCTTCGATATCTCTTTCTTAACTAGCGGACACAAATGTAATTACATTGATATAAAATAGTTAATGACTCTTTTGCCAATTGGCAAACTTTGGGACATTATAAACCAAAAAATCATAAAAACCAATAACTTTAATAAAATAATTTCAATATGTGAAACTTTATTGCACGCATGAAATGTCCTATGTGGATAGATTAACATTACTAATTACAGGCCATAATGGTAGACATTTTTGTCGGTTATGAGGGCTAAATATTATAACCTTAAAAA